TTGCATCTTTGGAGGCCTCATTTATACTTTTATTCTGTGCCTCGTGGTCTCACTTTGGAACAATTCTTTTTTGGTCCATACATAATTGTATGATTGTATTGTACTATGATATAAGCCAATATGCTCCTCATTATGTTTGACCTCTGAAGAAGGCCTATACAGGCCGAAACGTGTCAGGTCAAGTCCATTGGCCCTTGTGTGCTAAATGTTAGCATTTTTACATGAGGTGTGATTGGGCCCTTATATGCTTTTTAATTCTTTGTTAATAAATACATGTATCTTTTCATACTATATAAATTAAGTTTTTATTGTTGGCCTTCTATTCTGTTTGACTTACCTTTATAAGTTCTGGATCCTCAGAGGTGTAACACAGAAAGATGGAGTACTCTCTGTGTCAATGTGAGAAGAAAAATGGTAGGCAGGTGATTTATATCTACTCAGAAAAGTGGGGTAGGGCTGAGGCATTATCTTGTAGGAGTTTCCCAGGCTGTGACATGCTAATGGAGGAGTTTTCCTGAGGAGGTTCTTTTGCATATGGATTGGGTATTGAAATTCTAATCTTATCTGTAGTGCTGTTGTCAGATGTAGAGCATTTTGTGTTTTTCAGGACTGGAAACCAGTTCTTCTATTTCAAAGAGAGTATAAACCTTGCCAAAAATGTACATTCAGTTACATATTTTTAACTACATGCAGATTTTATCATGGAAGGCATTACACTTTAATTTAATGTTGCCTTATTCCAAGTTAATCTGAACCATAATATATCATGAACCACTACTAAATTTAACACTCCACTAAATAAGGCAGGATATAGATGGTTTAATAAGCAAATTAAATAAAGGTGGCATGGTATAACCCACTCTAATTAGATCTCGGAAGCTAAGTTGGGTCGGTTCTTGGATGACTTGGATGGGAGACCACCAAGGAAGACTCTGCAGAGAAAGGCAATGGCAAAGCACCTCTGCTTCTCATTTGCCTTGAAAGCCCATCGATAGGTCACCATAAGGCAGCTACAACTTGATGGTGCTTCTATACATACATAATACAGTTTTATTTACCAGATGATGTTATTTCTCTCCATGCCATGAAAAGCTTCAGCTTCCAATTTCTACACATTAAGGCTGAGTTAAAAGGACAGGGATTTTTTTTTCCAGGCTTGTTAGCAAACCTAATTTATACCTGCCCAGCCCAACTGCATTATCCTGTGTGTTCCATATTAGTACTCATGTTCTGAGACACTGCCCCTTTAAGATGAGGCATTCTTCACCCAAAGAGTGATTCACACATGGAATTCACTGCTACAGGAGGTGGCGGCGGCTACAAGCATGGACGGCTTCAAAAGGGAATTAGATAGGCATATGGAGCAGAGGTCCATCAGTGGCTATTAGCCACAAGGTATAGATAGGGGCTCTCACTCTGGGGCAAGTGATGCTCTGTCTTCTTGGTGCTTGGGGGGGCCAACAGGGGGAGGGCTTCTAATGTCCTGGCCCCACTGGTGGACCTCCTGATGGCACCTGGTATTTTTGGCCACTGTGTGACAGAGTGTTGGACTAGATGGGCCTTTGGCCTGATCCAACATTGGCGTCTCTTATGTTCTTATTCATGAGTTGCTTTCTGGAGACAATTTTATTATACATTGAATGCAAGGCCTCATGGGAGGGCCCACAACATAAAAGGACATCCTACTGTAATATTTACCAAAAATAATCTAATAGCTCTTTTCCCACTGCAACACCAAGCTTGTTAGTGAGACAGGCATTCTCTAGGGAACAAATAGCGGGGCTGGATTCTAAAGACGGAATCCCAGGAATAGTAGAAAGTGCCATCTGATCTTGGTGTTTATAAAATGCAAAAGGGAAACTAATTTCTGAAATAGTAAAAGGAACAGACTACTTAAGACTGCAAGGGAAACCAAGCTCTGTATTATCCCGGTTGTGGCAGTGAACTGCTTGGTGGCCTAGCTCAGGTAACCAAAGTTTGCAGCACAGCTTCTATGAAGAAAAAGAAATCAGTGGGATTAAAGCTTCACATAGGGTATGCTAAAGTGAGGAGAGGGGTTCCAGTGTGAAAGTACACCAGGAACTGAAGCAAGAAAAGGCTAATCAGAGAGCAAGTTCCAAGAAACTTGAGTCTACTTAAGAGGAGGAGGAATGCATATTATAGAAGGTAGGCATACTACAGTGAGAAGGGAATTCTGCCAGTTGAGGCTTTTAGTCACTGCAGAGTCATGACCTTGGCAGCCCTAAGAGCAGTTATCCCCAATGGCAACTCATACCTATGGCTGCTATGATGCCCACCAGTATGTTTTCCTGATGGCCATTTCTTTCTCTCCTGAAGCATCATTTCTCAAAAACAAAGAGCCTATCCTGGATTCCATCTGATGTTTTGAAGTAGGAGGTACTTCAGAAGAGCTTAAAGGTTTCCCTTGCTCAAAAGCCAGTCAAATCCAACTCTAAGGGGCGGTGCTCATCTCCAAGCCGAAGAGCCAGCGCTATCCAAAAACATTTCGGTAGTCATGTGGCCGGCATGACTAAATGCCAAGGCACACGGAACGCTGTTACCTTCCCACCGAAGCGGTACCCATTTTATCTACCTGCAGTTTTTTGCTTTCGAACTGCAAGGTTGGCAGGAGCTGGGGCCAGAGACGGGAACTCACTCTGTCACATGGCACTAGGGTCTTCAACTGCTGAACTACAGACCTTCTGGTCTACAGCTCGTTGTCTTAATCTCTGAACCACTGCGGCCCTGTTCAGCAGAGCTGAGGAGGCTTAATTTGGAAACAGCTACCTCAGTCATGGGAGGATGTTTGGGAAAAGTTCCAATGTCTTGACAGAAAACCTAGTCCCCATGGCAACCATTTTATTGTGGCACTCACTACCTCTTCTCAAAATCTGAAATCACTGACAAGTTTAACAAGGTTGGGGGCCCTGCATAAGGGTAACAAATGTTAAGAAGCATGGGACACCGACTTTCTCACATTCAACTGTAGTTGCAGTTAACAGAGGACAGTGGTTTTTGCAGTTTCTCCTCACTGCTGCAGCCCTGAGGTCTGTAAACATCTTGTTACCTTGTGACACTTGACGTCAACAGATCCTCAAATGACATAGTTGGAGGGGCTGCAGTGGTAAGGGGCACGTTAGTAAAAATCACTGCTCCTGCTTAAGGAAGCTTAAGTGCCCTTAAGTCACCTTAATGTGAATGGATTCAGGCCATTGTTTTGAACTAGTTAGCTAATTCATCAGTTGCAAGCTTCCAAATAAGCTCTGTTATCTCCACAAGCAGTAAACTCCTTGGCAGAAAGATGGGGGAAAACCGAAGTGTGCGCTGTATGTACAGAGTACTCCTAACATGGGTTTCTGGGATATTTCAGAGAGGCATTTCACCGATTTCTTGAGGGTGAAAGTAAACACCTTCCATATGTCCTCTCACTGAGATCAAAACACCCAGACCTTAGTGAACAATATTCTAATAAACAGGTAAAATGGTACATTGGAAATTTAGTGTTAGTTTGTACCATGGGTGTCCAACATGGTGCCCATAGGCACCATAGTGCTTCCTGACATCTTTCTTGGCACCCACTAAGAGTTTTTAGATTTGGAAAGTGAGTGGGCTCTTATGCAGCAGGGCTTCTGCTTGACCACTGATCTGATCAGCTATGCAGATTAAAATAACATTGTTTCAGTGGCAGCTGCCACCACATTTGTTTTATTCTCTTTCACCCCTTTGCCAGTATATTTTAAATTACCAGTCTTCTCCTCTGAAAGTGGGCTTCTTCTACGTGTTTGGCTCCATCTCCTGCAGCTAGGGTTGCCAAGTGTGATTTTCGCCGCAGCGGGGGACTCCCGGCTGGTGGCTGTAGTGCGCGCATGCATGCCGCATCCACATCACTCGGAAGTGACACGACCATGCCGGGCACGCTGGGGGCAGGGCTACGACCATCCGAGGGAAAACCATAGAGTTTTCCCTTGGATGACCTTGGCCCCGCCCCCAGCATGCCCGGCGTGGTTGCGACACTTCCGGGTGACATGCACGTCGGGGTGGCGTTCCCCCCGGGGCCCGATCCGCTGACAGCGGGGAACGGGCCTCTGGGGCGGGTGTTTCCCCGCCCTCCGGGGGGACTTGGCAAGCCTACCTGCAGCAGCCATTTTGTGGTCAGTTCTGCCTCCTGTGGTGGCCACAGCTGTTCCTAGGGGAGTGAAACTGACCAGAAACAGCAGGGCAGCTTCCCTTTCCTTCCCCAACCTCCTCCTTTCCTTCCCCAACCTCCTTCCTTCCCCACTGCTGCAGGGTGAGGCGTACTGGGGGGGGGGGTCGGGGGGGTCTGGCATCCTCCCAGGGTGGGGCAGGGCTCATCAGTGGTGGGGCTCTACCCCCAAATGCCCCATTGTGGCTATGGGCCTGTTCTGTACTGTAGGTGCTTGTGGAGAAAACAACGTTTGGTATGTTGGTTTTGATTACATATTGTTCGGCCTTTGTTATGTTGCAGTATGTATAGAAAGAGAACTTGAAAATCAGAAACCAAGGATGAGATTACATAGTCAAACTGGTGTCCACTTCTGGTTATCCATTTTGAATTATCATGAGTCTTCTGCAACATTGCACTTTCACTCAAAGCCTTCAGTGTGCTTTTTACTTAACTCCCATATGGGTTTGGTTTAGAATTTATTACCATTGTACAAGTTGAAATGTGAGAAAGTCTTCAACATTAAGGTGAAATTCCTACGAGTGCAATGTTCACAATAATAAATTATTAAGATATGCTTAAAAAGCAAGCAGTATAAATTTCAGGGCATGCTGAATGATACAACCTTATGCTTCTTGAAGGGACAGTTTCCACATCACTGGTAAGGCTCTGATCTTCCCTTCTATGAAAGCCAGAACACATTTTCATTTTCTCCCACATTTATAGGAAGTCAAAAAGAACACACTCAGGATTCTCAATTTTGTTTCCAGAACAGGTTTAATCTAATATACATATTCCTAGGTACAGTAATAACCAGAATATCCCCATTGAAAAGGTTAAAAAGTAATTTCCTTCCAGACTCTGCTCAGCCTGGATTCCAAATAAAAATGAATGTTATTTCTACACAAGACTAGATTTTAAAAAGTTGAGGTTCTATGAAAAGAGAGAGGACAGCAACAGTGAGCAAGGACAGGAAAGCAGCAATTCCAGCAGGGCCTACTGTTGCTGGTTTGGGAACTGTACCAAGTGCCTACTAGAAAGGAGACAAACAGTGCTTCTCCACTGAGGAGTCCACAAAGACCACATTGCTCTAAACCCTTAAGGTACTCTTGGAAAGGACTTGTTTATCCAGAGCTGTGCAGAAGGACAAGCCAAATCTTATTTCAACCAGAGGTCACATACAGCCTATCGTTACTCATTCTGCAGCCCAAGGCTAAACAATAGGAAACAACCACACCTTTCTGCCAATATTTGATTACCATAACATGGCAAAGCCCAGTTCTCTCCAGAGTCCCACATGAAATGGATAGGGATGACCAAATGATATCAGGAAGTGAAGGAAAGGGAAAATGTATATGGGTAAAGGAATTCGTGATTTCCCCTTTAATGTAGGTGGGACTGAAACCCCCAATACACAGCTAGGGGACATGAACATGCACAACAGGATCCAACGGCTACAGAAACTAAAGACTTGTCACCTAAGGATCCAAACATACATTAACTCTAGGATCACATACATAATCAACAGCTTTTCCCACAGAGCAAAATGGCTCTGCTTCCACCCTCCCAACTTGCTTATGTGTGACCTCAAAACAGTTCCTCATGTTCACAACTTTCACTAGAACCTCATATTCACAACTCTCACCATGACATCTCCCACAGCCTGATCTGCAACACAGCTAGTACATGCTTCCTCCCTGCAAGAGAGACAGTCTTTGGCGAAATCTGTATTCACTGGGAGGACTAGGAAGTTCCCGTTTTACCTTGTTCCACACCTTCCCTCTGTGCAGACAGAGTGCACGAAAGCAAACTCCAGCCTGGATTACCACTGCTGTCAGTAAAGAGCATCTCCACAAAAACAGCATGGTTTATTTAGTGCTCGAATTCTGGGATCCTTCCCCCTGCCCCGAGTCCAAGTTGGTTTATAGAAACCTCGCCTGCAGGATAGCAAGAGAGCCCAGAAATTAAATACTGCTTTCACCTCCTTTGTTAATAATTAATTTTGTTCATTCAGAAGAGTAAGGGAATGCTGGAATGCTGGTGCTTCCTAAGAGCTCTACTACTGGGCTTCAGCTACAGGTGGTGCCGCAGGCACATCAGTTCCACTTCGCAAGGCGTCTGCCTTGGAGAAGTTAGTCTCCAAGATGTGGCGCTGGAGATGCCGTACCCATTCTTCTTGTATAGAGAGGGGCCCTTGGAACTCCACTTCACAAAATCTGCACAAAGAGAACACAATGCTTAGTAGAGGACATTTGAAGAATTATTCATCTCAACGCACACACTGAAACCAAGCTCCCTAAAAGTACGTGGGAGTAAGGGAACTGAGGTTATCTTTTCATCTCTTGGCTTGCCCTTGAGAGTCTTGGAGCAAGAGGGACTGTCCTCTAATGGACAGTTACACCAACATATTATAACAAAGTTTGAGTCCAGTGGCATCCTTAAGACCCAAAAGTTTCATTCAAGATATAAGCTTTCATGTGCATGCACACTTCTTCAGATACAACGAAATGGAAATTACCAGTCCAATCATATAGGTAGAAGGCAAGCAGTAAATTAGCAGACAGCATAATGAAGATGTTTAACAGATTCAAGTACCAAACTGGACTTACAAACTTTGTTTATATGGTTACCATTTGTTTGGGTTTAATTATGGGGGGGGGGGAGAACACAGTGAAGGAAATAAATATGTCTAAATTATTTGAGAGGACGATGGAAGACAGGAAGGCCTGGCGTGATCTGGTCCATGGAGTCGCGAAGAGTCAGACTTGACTGTGCGACTGAACAGCAACAACAACAACAAATTGGAGATTGATGGGCACGTGTATTCTTAATTGTTGAATGCTGAGAATAATTAACTCCATTCCAAACTGGTGAGAATATAGATGTAAAGGCTGAACGAGGCTGAACATTCCAGGACATTCAATGGGTAACCTCAAAGTAGCTGCTTTATTACAAAGGAACTTCAAGAACAGAATTGATAGCAATGCTGATTCTGTGAACTTAGGCATATCATGAGACTTGGGAGGGCAGGAAGGGTTGCATCAGTGCTTAGTTCTTGTGGCCCTTTCGTACACGCCTAGGAAAATGCTGACCACTACTTTGGGGTCAGGAAGCAATTTTTCTCCAGGCAAGTTTGGCTGGGGATCCTGGAGGTTTTTTGTCATCTTCTGGGCATGAAACAGGGATCACTGGGGGTGGTGGTGGTGGGAGGCATTTGTGATTTTCCTGCATTGTGCAGGGGAGGCTGGACTAGATGACCCTGGAGGTACCTTCAAATTCTATAAATCTAGAAAGGGAAATTGCTGAGTTGCAAGTTATTACAACACTTAGAACAATGGATTCAGGACTTCAGGGATATTGGTTTCTTATCTCACTACATATGCTAACCTCATTCAGCCCTCACATCTGTATTCTCACCAATCCCCAGAAGGGCAATACATCCTTTTTATTTCATTTCTAAATAGGAATAATAGATCAGAATAGTAGAACGTAATGTAACGTAATGAATAGTAGAATGTAATGTCATTTGGAATGGTAGATTGGAATGCATTTCTATGGTCTGGGGACGGTTGAGATACACTGCACAGCCAATCTACCCCCACTTAAAAAAAAAGTTGCTGTGAGGTCACCTTCTTGCTTGAGAAGACACGGATGGAGCGTAATGGCAGGGTCTCAGTCAATTACTCTCAGCATTCCACAGTTAAGCATACATCTGCCCATCAATCTTCAATTTTGACATATTTATGTCCCCCCCCCCATATTTAAACCCAAACAAATGGTAACTATATAAACAAAACTTGTTGTACCTGTTCGGTCCTGGAATCTGTTAAACATATTCATTATGCTGTATGCTAGTTTACTGCTCACCCTCTACCTATATGCATGGACTGGTAATGTCCATTTCATTGCATCTGAAGAAGTGTGTGTACACACGAAATATACCTTGAATAAAACTTTGTTGGTCTTAAAGATGCCACTGGCCTCAAACTTTGTTCTGCTGCTTCAGACCAACACAGCTATCTACCTGAATCTATCAACACAGTATAGTTACTTATACTACCCTTTGTTCCAGTTTTACTACAGACAAGGGAATGAACAAGGAGGAGGATAGGTTTTTATACCCCGCCTTTCTCTACCTTAAAGAGTCTCAAAGCAGCTTACAATTGCCTTCTTCTCCCCACAACAGTCACCTTGTGATGTAGGTGGGGCTGAGAGAGTTCTGAGAGAACTGTGAAAGGCCCAAGACCACCCAGTGGGCTTCATGGGAAGGACTATTTATTTACTTACAATTAAATTTATGAATCGCCCAATCCCTGAGTTCACAGGGCCCTGGGCAAAGAAAAACAGTAGAAATACTCCATAAGCATTGTTAAAATTATAACCATTACATAAAACCATTTAATTCTTAAAACAATCCCCAGATGGCGTGTGAATTTATCTTAGCCAGTTCTGGACTGTGTTGCTGCCTTGCGGGCAGGGCAGGAAGAGGTGAAGAAGAGAGGAAAGATGGGAGAGAGGAGGAGAGTACCAGCCATAATAAAACCCATTGCTGTCCTCAACCAAAATCCTGGCGGGTGCAACATCTCTGCCTTCCAGGCCCTGTGGAACTGCATTAAGTCCCGCAGGGCCATGATGTCATTTGGCAGAGAGTTCCACTAGGTCAGAGCCAAGACCAAGAAAGCCCTGGCTCTGATCAAGGACAGCCAGATGTCTTTGGGGCCAGGGAGCGCCAGTAGGTTGTTCTCAGCAGAGTGCAATGCTCTTTGGGGGACATACCAGTGGAGGCGGTCCCGAAGATACATGGTTCCCAGACCTCTCAAAGAATCAAACCCAATTCTCCAGATTAGATTCCTCCACTCTTAACCACTACACCACACAAGACAGCAGAATAGCACACACCTGCACTTAAGTGTGTAGATATTACCCACAAACTTCACCAAGGAAGTCTGTGGTGGCCTAGGAACCAAGGATGGTACTGGTCTCACTCTGGGGGGTGGCTGGCGGACCTCTTCAGACTTCTGCTGCATGTCATTGGCTTCCTCTTCTCGAGGTGCAGGAGTCTCAAGGGGCTTGGCCTGCCTCCGTTCAAATTCTAAGGAACAAAAGATAAATATGTTTCAGAACAGGACGGTGGGATACAGCAAACACGCCACAATGGAAGATTTGCCATGAAAAGCCACTTTTTTGAAAATTATATTTTTCATTACAACAAAGGCCGGGGGCGGGGGGGGGGCACACAACTTTAAGGAGGTCTTAAAAGCATAAATCATTTTCTGAACAACTTTGTCCAACCCAGTGTGGTGAATTATCACTCTGACTGGAAATGTTCCTCTGTGGCTAAGATTTTAACATATTAATCTAGTAAATAATTTTCCTGAGGCCCATTACCAGGGACTGGCCAAATTGTTTGGATTAGCATGTAGAGCCAATGATAGATCTGATTTGTTCCCTCATGATGGGCTGTAAAAAAAGGGAGGGGGGGTTCCCTCTGGCAGCCCAAAACGCCTTGTGATGGGCCCTCTCTTCCACATGTACTCGTGCTGGTGAACTGGGAGCAGTGACTCACTGTTGATGTTATGTTGGTGATGCTCCTCCATCTTTACCAGCGATAGAGGTGAGGTGACTGCAGGTCTTTCGCTGCTTCCATCCACAGCTTTGCTGGGCTCGCTGGGCACCATCTCCCCACCTAGACTTCTGCTCAGCAGTGGAGGGCTGCCTGCCTGCAGGCTCAGAGGAGCTCTTTTCCCGGGGGTGTCACTGTCGCGTGCATGAGAGGCATTGCGAAACTTCTTGGTAAAGGGCCGCCCACCTTGGATGTAGCTGCGATACGCTCCAGCTTTCTGGGGTCGATGCTTGATCCACTCACTCAGAGTCTCAATTGGAGAGCCGTTCACACACCACTCAGTCACTCCAAACTGCCTGAGATGGGCACGAGCATGGCTGGCCAGCGCCTTGCGGTTCTCAAAGTACAGGCCACACAGTTCGCAGCAGGCTTCACTGGCTGGGAGCAGAAATGGCATGGATCTACACTAAGCAAAGTTCTCAGCAAAGGACTTAAACAACAACTGTTCAAGGGTAGGTGTACCAGGTATTATCCTCTCCAAGTCATTACGTCTATTCCCCCTAATAGGATTCTCTGAAACTAAGGTGAATAGTTTGAAGAACCCACTGAACTTTCCCGAAGCATTGCTTTTAATACCCTTCATCCACAGCTCACAAGCTAAGTAAACAAAACCCAACTATCCTTCATACACACATAGGTAAGATGCATATCTTCGATCATCTAGAGTATACCACTAATTGGTTTGGCAACCATGATGTTTGAATGCGCAACAATACCAAAATAAATGCTCAGCCAGAGGCTATAGGGAATTTAACTAAATAGAACAGGGAGAGGAGAGTCAACATGTTAACCCATTACTGGTTACCAACATCCTCAGATGAGTACTGTTAGGACCTGTATCAATCAAGATGTTGGCGAGTATCAGAGGTCTTCTTTGAAGACTACAAGACACTACTGGCTGTTGAAGTCTGTTTGCATTCTGATTGATCTCATCCCACTTCACGCCCACCTCTAGCACACCAGAAAAGCTCCCCAAGTTCGCAAGGCAAAGCCTCACAACAGAATACTAAGAAGGCTTTCTAGATCCCAGCCTTATCCTCCCCACTCGGGGGGGGGGGCACTTACATGTATGAGCAGGCTTTTCATGCACATGCTTGGCTTTGAATGGCAACTCAGTCTGGATGTAGGTTTTCTGCTTCATTTCACCGGGGCCACTCAGCCTCTCATCTGACAGCAGGCGCTTAGTGGAAAGTGATGCCAAGAAACCCTCTTGTGACTTGAGTGGAGATAAGGAAATCTCCCGACCAAGGTTTGGTTTTCCTGTCCTCCCGCCCAGCGGGGACAAAGCCATGGACTGCAGCATTTTCCCAGGGGACTTTGGAGCACCTCCATCCTCCCCCATGGGTTTTGGAAGCTCAATGCTCATTGTGGTCGGCTCCTTCTTTATCAAGCATGGCTTGTTCTTCTTCTTTATAATCTCTCGGAGTGTGTCTATGGGGGAGCCATTGACTGACCATTCAGTTACTCCCATCTGGCGCAAGTGAGATCTGGCATGGCTAGAAAGCCCCTTTCGGTTCTCAAAAAATTCACCACAGAACTCACAACGAATGTCCCGCACAGGATCAGCACGAGAAGCTGCAAGGGACAGATAAAAGGGCACAGAGACTGGCTCAAAAGCAAGGAATTAGCAGCAAGCCAGACATCATTCAAAACACCCTTATTTACTTCTGCAACATTTTTCAATGCAGAGAACATTATGAAGCATTTATCTCATTTCGATCTGATATAATGACTTCTCTAAACCTCCCATCTATCTTCAAGGCTCAGTAGATTTTTGAACCTAGATCTTCCATGTGTGCATTCTGTTCAGTCCTCTACAAGCTGTAGAACAACTAGGCACTTGGACAGGAGTGCACTTAACTACCTGTGTTTATTGTGGCAACTAGGAAACAGGGGTTTCTCATTAGGAAGATGCTACTTTTTTTGCTGCTGTCCTTTCCACAAACAGCCCATTTAGCAAAGTGACAATTACCCATATCTCAAGTGCAGAAGGTTGCATAAACACAAAAATATGCTAAAATGGTAGTCAGCAGACCTGTACCCTCCTTGCCAGGCATCACCCGATCTTATAACTGGGGGAAATCCCTAGGGTTTGGCTCCCAGGTTTTCACTTGTTCACCTTTCAGATATTCATTCTCTAAACCTTATGCAGAAAGATTTCACTACTAACACTTACAGAGATTGAGTGGAGACATCTCCTCCCGTGGTGACCAAGGTCTGTCTGACAGATGTGACTCGTTGTGAAGTCCCCCAGACATCATTTCCCGCTTGATTTCCATTCGCAAATGGTCTTGCTTCAGTTTCTTGTGCAAAGAGGGAGAGGGAAGCCCAGAGAAGATTTTTCTAGCAGTTGGGGGAGGAGAAGAGGTAGAAGACTGCCCCATAGGACTCCCTGGCTGCTGTGCCCTTTTAGGGATGGTAGGCACATGGCTTTCCCCTGGACTGCATGGTTCCAGAGAGCCTCCAAGAACAGATGGGGCAATGGGTTTCTGACCCTGTGCTGGGGAGCCAGAGGCACTGGTCCGAGGTTGGGCCCGCCGTTTCAGGATTTCTCGGAGTGTGTCAATGGGGGAGCCATTCACATACCACTCAGTTACCCCCATTTGACGCAGATGTGACCTGGCATGGCTGGACAGCCCCTTCCGATTCTCAAAATATTCACCACAGAACTCACACCTGATGTCTCGCACAGGTTCTGCTCCAGAGGCTGAGAAGAAAAAGAAGACATGTGGTTACAGCAGACTACAGAAGAATCAGATAAGAATATGATTCAACCTGGATACCAGCCAGATTACTCCCCTGCAAGGCTGTATGAAGCAGGCATATAGCAGAAGGATTTTGCACAACACAAAGCTGATCCCTCAACAAGCTTGGCCAAAGGAAATATATCAAACCACCAACAATTCCTGTAAGGCATGAAAGCTTGGATGGATGAGGTTAAAGCAGGGGACACTGGAGACAAAGACAAGAGACAGTGAAAGCAGGCATTGCCAAATGGAAGTGCTGATCCTAAATCATGAGATTATATCTTTGGCAATGAGGCAGAAGAGAACCTCTGCAATTGCCAACACCCCTGCCCAGTCCTGTTTATGAAGAAAGGAGTCTCAGTGCGTGCAAAGCAATCTGGCATGAAAGCTAATCTCCTACACAAAAAGTATCCTCACAGCACTTTTCAAAATACACTTGCTGTCTAGTATACATCTAAACACTCAGTCCTACAACAAGGAATGCTGAATGCCTCTCCTGCAGAAGAATTCAATGCCTGGTTCATTCTCCCTGTCACTCAGGAATCTCACATTCCAGTGCATAACTGGGGGAGTACCAAAGATCAAGTGCGCTGTTTTTGCCATCCTTAGTCTGAGCCACGCAGCCTTCTTGAGGTAATGCAGAACAGTCAGTGCAGAAGGATAAAGTACACTTGATACAGGGTGCCAGTTTAAGGAACTTTAAACCACTAATATACAGATAACCCTTCTCTCCTACATACTCTGTCTTCACTGAGTGAGGGAAATGGCTGAAATCCCACCATCGTGACCAACTGTTTCTTCCATCTCTGGAATGGGATGTAGCCCTAGTGAACCTGTATATGGGAGGACGAAAGGGAACCTTCCTTGCTCAGTAACTGCTGGGACATTTAAATGCCAAGGAGAAAGACACTACTGAGCATTCTGCTAACATTGAGTGGTCACTGAGTGCTCTAAAAAGCACTGCAGTCAGAGTTCAGTCAATGACCCCAAAGGGCTATGTATCAACTTGCATACTCTCCTTTCAAATAGTACAGTCACAATTCTCCCTTCATCAGCAGGCAAAGCAGTGTGGAGTTCATTTGTCTTGTGACAGTCCTACATGTAAAGCATTTAAGCATACAGCGTTGCTCTATCTGGAACAGAAAGATGTCTTCCCTTTGGAGCAAGGCAAAAACAGTGAAGTGAATACCCAGAAAGGGAAGGGGTAATTTCAGCACACACAGAGGCCTGCTGGGAAAACTGCAGTAGAATGTTCGGGGGTGGGGGGAGCTCTTAGGGAAAAGGCAATGGAGAGCACGTGGCTCGAAGAGCTTGCTTCCTCACCCCTTCGCTGCTTATCAGAGACTGGCAGGAAACAGCAAGTGGCCTGGATGTTAGGTGCACAACTCCATGTCACATAAACAAGACTGGGAAGGGTGGGAGGAGGGGGGCAGGAGCCAGCACTGATAGAACCTACAGAGATTGAGTGGAGCCATCTCAGCATCTGATGCCCAGTACGCGCTGGAAGAAAGACCCTGTTTCCTTTGCAGAGTGGCCACAGCTGACAGTCTGTGGCCATGTGGCTTCAGTTTCTTGGATGGTGGAGGGGAGTGAGGTGAGAGTACAGATGGCTGTTTGCCCAAAGACTTTGGTGAATGTGCTTGTTTCATGCCTGTGGCAGGCGTTGCTGTAGCGGTGCTCTTTGGGCTGGGTCCATCAGAACTCCCAGTGTCCCCTAATGATTCTCTCTCACTAGGGAGGAGAGAGGAAAGACGGCCTTTGAAGTCTTCATTTTTGATGAGATCATTTAAAACATCAATAGGAGATCCTTTAGCATCTGGATCGCTCACTCCCAGGTGTCTCAGGTGGGCTCTAGCGTGACTTGACAGCCCTTTTCTGGTTTCAAACCAGGCACCACATAACTGGCAGTCAATTTCTCTGCCCGAGTCACTATCTACAGCTGCGGAAAGAAAACACATTGATCACAATCGTCTCAAACACCTGTCACAATCTGAAAAGGGCTCTGTCGGATCCATTATTCCAAAAATGGCATGATACAATGGTTTCCCAAGAGAATTTAACAAGGAGGCTCAAAGGTGAGTTATTCCATATATATCACTGCTGCTGCCTTATCGGTTGAGCAAAAAATTTCCAGGGAAGATCTGAAATTAAATCAGATTTACTATGCACTAAGCCAGGTCAAGTTTTCAAACATTCTCACTCATGGAAACATGACACTGAAGCCTCTGTAATTACCACTTCAGCTTAAACCACCAGACATTTTTAAGAACGGCAACATCAAAAGCTAGCTGTCCAGTATTCAGTAGAAATTCCAACTACTAACTGATGAGTTCTTGCCAGAAAAACAAGACTTCAACCAGAACAGTCATTAAAAATTACAAACTGCTACTTTGAGGCACAGTGCATATGAGGGTTTGTTTGTTTTTTGCCAATCATTTCACACCTTCAGACTGCAAAATCTCATTTAAACAGGCATCCATAACAGTGACACAGAGCTCAAGAGTATACTTTCCAAACATTACAGTTTTTCATACCTGTAAGCTTCTTAGAAATGTCTTTGATCCAACATTTATAACGTTTGATTTCAAAATAAAGAGAGGACCATGCAGTTCTTTCACTGGTATGCACCCTACAATCTACCTATCTATTGTATGATCTATTAACAAGAACTGGGTTGACTGCAGAATTGACAGCTGTTGTTACTGAATGTGTACAGAATGGCAACTTAAAAGACCTTATTTAGTCCATGAAGATTTATGCCAGTTTCTGTATCATGCAAGTTCAAAGTGCCCATGAATATTTAAAGAAGGCATGTATGATATCTAGAAGTGACACAGTATATTCTATGAATCTCCACTTTGACACATCACTGGTTAAATGAAACACAGCTTAGCCTAGACTTGGCCAACTAACATGCGATAGCAAAGGTAGAAAATCTCACAGTGGTTTCTAGAATGAGAAGTGTAAAGCAAATATTCATGCCAGAAGTGAAGAGGTACACTTAGGGATGGGAGTCGGACGTATCTGTACAAATGCTATTGTTTTTCCTCAGTAACTCTTTTCAGTTGCATAACTGAGGCAGAATAACAGATCTGAGGACTCTAGTGTTCAGTTTAAACTAGACTACTGCACTATGATGAGATAACTGAAGGGTTCTAACAGCAGCAAACAGGGCTTTTAAAATTAGATACTCAGATGAAACAAGTATGAGATTCATTGTAAAGGCAGATCTCTCAGGATGTAGACAGACACTTCCTATACCAGTAGGACTGTAGACTTGGCTGCTTAAAGGATAATAAAACCCTATAGGTAAGGAAGCCTTGACACCATCAGATCCTACCCTGACCGCCCCACCAGAAAATTCCCCTGTGCTCCTGCTTGATCTCCAGTAGACATATATGCCCCTGACTAATCACAGCAACAGTGAAAACTCATTGCTCCCTCACCAGTAACAACTGCAAAGCAGCACTTAATCAGTGAGGCATGGTTTCCCTGCAATGCAAAAAAAGGAAAATTCAAGAAAACTGATACAGGTGGTATGGAGTAGCTTATGCTGTTTCTGACAGCTTTTCAAATAAAAGATTTCCATCGCTAACACTGCTGAAGAGACCTGTCTCTGAATACTAGAGTCCACAAGCGGTTTGGCTGTGCTAATTTTCAAGCATCGTCTTTTCAAGCAACCTAAGAATCACCAGCATTAGCATCAGATCTAATGAGGGTACTGATGAGGGTACGTGAACAACATGCAGGTTTACTGTGTAAAAGGTCAAAAACAGTAAGACTTAAAAGCAGTAGAAATTGCCTCCTGGTGGGAAATCTAAGATACTCATGGCACTGGACTCCTTGCCCTTTGTTCTGCAATGGACATTTGTTTTTAACTGAATATCTGTTCTCAAGATCATAACAGAGAGTACCTTGGCCTTTTCTTGAGGTGAAGAGTAGCTTCGCTCAGGGCTTTGGCAGGAAGTAGATTGTTTACAGATACTGTCCCTCTGACTGAGACTCATTCCTATTTTCCAACAATGAATTAATAATAAAGACTGAGCACAAACTGAAAGGACATGTGGGAAAGCTTTGTGGAAGGTATACGGAGTAATATTATAGGACTGACCCTCCCAGAGGTAGATTGGGAAAAGAACCCGTGGAGGTAGAGGGAAGTGCCTCCTTTGGAAAGAAGCTCTAATAGGCAGGTATGTTGCAGTAAAAATAAAAAGCAGCTCTCATATAAATCTGAGAAGAGAGAAACACTCTCTGCCTAACAGCAAAGAGCCCATCTTCATCTAAAACCAGCAATTATCCTAGAAATAATAACGGAACATTTTGCAGGAGAGTAACATATCCAATTTACCTCCCATGCCCTTCCTTTACCGTGGTGTACATAAGAGACAATATGTGCGAGTGCAGCAGCCTTTGCAGCCAATGGATGGCAAATGTGTCTGGCAGGTTGGAGGGGGAAAACCCTTAACTGGTTCACACCACAGGGTAATGCCACACACAAAAGCTCTCTGCCAACTCTCCAGTGTTACGCACAGCAAGAAGCATCAGCATCAAACAGACTCACTTAGATTTAAGGGGCCTTCTTCCTCCGGTTGTGGCCACTGTGCTTTAGGAGAGCTCTGCAGGGGGCTCAGCGGTAGCTTAGGGCTCTTGTCTTCAGGGTTCTTTGGTGGAGGAGAACCAGGCAGAGAAGGTGTCACTTTCTTGAGTATGGGAGATCCTGGCTGGGCAACATTCTTGGAGCTGAAATCTGGAGGGGATTTGATTGCTTTGTTTACAGGTGGCTCTTGAGGCCGTTCTGTAGTGGGGGGCAACAGTGTTGGCCGTGAGGACCCTGCAGTCCCTTCTTTGGGAGAAGCAGATTTTTTGCTAAGGCTTGGAGAGATGGGGCCGCTGTCCTGTTTGCCCTTCTGTTTCATCAGTTCATACAGTAAGTCGATGGGGGCTCCGCTGCTCTCGGACTCAGCCACACCGAGCTGACGCAAGTGAGAACGGGCATGGCTGGACAGGCCCTTGCGGGTTTCAAAGCAGGCGCCACAGACCTCGCACGTCGTGAGGTTTGGTGCTGGAAAGAGGAGAGTGACTTATTGAGACAAGGTTAAATTTAACCTCACACTCTCTTTGCTACTTGTCAGCAGACCACCTGTGCACATTGCAGTCTTGAGTCTGAGTCTCTCTTTAAAAGTCAGCCTCTCAGATATCACAAACTCAGCCTTGGTTTGGCACAACAGATTTGCACCAGCAATCTGTTATGCGAAGAATGAATTTAATAAGTACTAACCAAATGGCATTTGTTTGGTGACCAAGCTCCCTCTTCAAACTATATTTGCAAAACTTAACCACTGTCCACATGCAATCACTGCTTTTGTTGACTTAGCTGACACATGAAATTGGTCCAAGATGCCTCATGTGTCATATCAAGTACCCCTTAGTCCCCCCACTAACTCAGCACTGTATTTCTTATTTTGAACATCTTTCAATCATCACAGATTATCTAAAATTGTTACCCAAGTACAGCCAAGAATGGTGATGTCTACTGGTAATGACTAGCTACTGGCGATTATCCTAAAGCTGAACTCAAGTGTGCAAACTTTTTCTTCACTTCAGGAACAAATACAACTAAGAAAGTTAGAAACTTCTTTGGAATGAAGATTAATTGCATCAATCACGCTTCACTGTGCACTTTACAAGGTAGAAAACCTCTTCACCAATGGACCATTAATTAGACAGGCTGTGATTCAGTGCTGTTGTTCATCGATGTACTTTGTATAATGTTAGTGAAAGATTTTTTTTAAAAATGAACAATCCTATGGGGAAAATGTAGAGTTGTACTGCTATTTCTTCAACAACACACACAAGATATTGAGAAGGCAATTTATTTTATTGGGTCAACCCTTCATTTTTATAGCAAAAATGCAAGCTCTTGATATGCACAGTTTCTTCCACAGTCTTTTTAATGTGAATAGCAGTTTTGTTAGTTACAAAAGCTTGCACATTCTTACACCAACAGAAAGAATCAAACTAAAAGCCATTACAGTATCTTTCCTTTATAGAAAAGCTTGTAAGAGACAGGTTCAGATCTGACTATAAGCCAGATGAGAAGGAGACTCACTCTATTGCAGATACCATGCACAATGTTCCACAGATGCCTCAACAACAACAACAACAGAGACTCACTTTTAGAATCTCGGGAGTCTGCCTTATTGCTGGAAGGGTCTGGAGACAGCGAGTTCCCTATTCTGCTTGGAATCTGGTCTAATGACCCAGCCACAGAATTCTTCTTCTGGAGTGATAGTGATCCCATTTCTGTTGTAACCATATCATCTTCCTCCTCAGAAGCCATGACTATCAAAGAAAGAAGGGAATATGGGGCTTGAGCTTGAAACGGGAAAGCTAACAATGTTAGAGGGTCAAACCATGTCGTACATAATTAAAATACGTTGTAAATTATTCAGCTACCCCATAAATTCCACTTAACATGACAAAAAAATTACTGTGCCACTTACTACAAAAATAAGTAAATATGTTACTAGAGATATCTTTGCAACAATTGAGCCCTTGCTATTGCTTAAACATAAAAATATGTGAGGTCATTGAGCAATAAAGAAAATCTCCACTGCAAGACTTTTTAAAAATCAGAAACTGAACATTGAATTATGACATGAAAATAATAAAGCCTATGTTATATCTTAGAGCTGGAAATGCACAACTATAATTAGCAGTAACAGTAAAAATCTGTAGGAAGGTACAGAATGCTGACAATTAAGACAACATTACCATATTGGTTATGAGACCACAGTTTAGTGCCAGAAGACGTGATAAGCCATCTGTGTTCCTGGATAAGAGGCCACAAAAATTGCTATGGGACTATATATAGGAGGGATCAACCAGATAATGATAAGCAATTCCACTAATTAGTTAATCTATTAAAATGTTGTATTTCAACTTGTGTTCAGCAAGTTATTTCTTTTCACTCTGATCCCTTACTTACAGCAAAAAATGTCATGCTCAGTGGCATTTGTAGTATGTGTGTACACAAAAACAAAGCAAAGATACCATTCAGGGGAATAGCAATTACAATTAAATAGATCATGGATGTGAGGGGTTTTTTACTTTAGAGCAACAGGAAGAAAAAACTTGACCAGAGCAGAAAGTGACAAAATGTTATGCAAAACTGTTTGCACCAAGAAACTATGCACTGGCTTGTCAGCTACAATCTAGAGAAAGATAAAGCAACAGTGGCATTATGCAGAGCCCAGTCTTATGCACACTTCTCTGCAAGTAACATAGTGGGATTTACTTAACAGAAATATATACAAAATCAATCTGTAAATATGACAAGGATGAGAAAAACAGCTTAAATAGAGAATCTTCATTTAAATATGAAGAAAAACAATTCTATTTTGATTGAAAAATTCACCAATATAATAGTTCACATACATGCTGGAGGAAAATATGTACTACTCTTGAGAATATCACAACTATATTTAACAATTACGTGCATGAAAAAGTTGAAGCCGACTTATGGCAACCCCAGAGAGGGACTTTAAGGACAAGTGAAAAACAGACGTGGTTTGCCATTGCCATCCTCTGCAGAGCCTTCCTTGGTGGTCTCCCATTCAAGTACTGACCCTGCTTAGCTTCCGAGATGAGATCGGGCTATACAATTATTACAATAAAATGTAAAAGGAAACTAGGCAAAATGACATGCACAAAATGAAAAACAGAACAGTCCTCATAGTGCCTACTATACTGGAGAATTTCAAAGCTAGAATTCAACCATCTCAACAAGTAAAGTGCTGGATTAACCAAGCAAACACTGCAGTAATGCACGCTTCTTGTAGTCCACTTTAACATTATTTATCCTTTTCTCACAGTGTAATCAGTTATTTGCCTTATTTTTAGGTAGGCCAGAGTCAATACTAGGAAGTTTTAACACATGCCAGAAAACTACTGTTAAGACTGGTTGTGATGTTTAGAAGGAGCAGTGATTAGTGAAACGGCAGAGCCTACAACCGTTTTGTATCAATACGGATCAACTAACAAATCAACTGCTTGCGGTACTACAGACAGTGGACGAGGCGCTGGCCAGGCGCTCCGGGTGCTGCACAACCACGGCTTCAAAGGGAATGAAATGATGCTGACCAGCGCAGGGGCTATTTGGGAAGCTAGGCGGCTACGGCGATGATGCTCTATCAGGCCTTGACAGCAAAGGTGCCCTGGTACTCTGCACAAAGGAGCAAAGAGAAAAACGGCGCCGCTTCCTGTCAGTCAGCCCAATCCCACCCCACATCCAGAAAAGCAAAGGCGCCGCGCTCTCTTAAAAAAGCAGTCCGGGGGGGGGGGGGGGGCGGGCGGAGAGAAACGGCACTCCACCATGTTCGATCGGACTAGTTTTTCCTTGCCCCTCTGCCAGGCTCTTACCAGCCTCGGGCGGCGCCCCTGCACCCGCCTCGTCGTCCCGAGGCCGCGGCACCGCCACCGCTTTTGTCGCTTTGGGCTGCGAGAGGGTGGAGGCCGCCATCTTGGGTCTGGCACATGCGGGGCAGCAGTCAGGAGGGACGGCGGAGTGTCGAAACTCTAGCTGAGTCTGATCAGGTGAAGCAGTCGAGCACCGAGTCAACCTAGAGAAGCCGGCCCGGCCGACCAAGGGGAAACCCTCAGGCCCAGAGTGAGTAGGGAGAGCCCGAGACTAGCGAGGTATATATCCAGACAGAACAACTCCAACCCCGAACTACCGCTCAACCGCGTGCCTGCTTCGTAGAGCTACTATGCTTAAAACTCCAGCAGACCAGAGCAGAAGAGCGCCTAACTTTCCAGAACATAACCTGAGGCCTGCAGTATGGAGGAAGCAGGGCGAATGAAAGCAGGAGATAGAGAAGCTGGCTATTTTAGCTATAGGGAAAATGGAAAAACAGCCTAAAATTTCTAGGTACCCAAAGAACGCGAGGATTATAAGTGGTGTCCTGTTTTCAAGTAAGTCCAATCACAACCTTATGACACGAGGAACTGTCCAAAAGTAGTACTCATACCATATAATATATAAAATTCTAGATTTTTTTTTGCTTAAGAATTTACTCTTTTTTCTATTTAAGGCCCTATGGATTTTAAATGTTTATTTTTGCATCTACAAAAATGAACATTCAGAGTTTTCTAGCTCCAAACTGCAAAATTACTCAAGTGGAATTGAGGAATGGGATACATACATGAAGATGGCATATATTACAAAACAGGCATGACATGGATCTTCATTACAGAAAATAATGACATGGATTTTCATTATAGGCAATAAATCTGTGACAGAGAACAGGTTGAAGACCTACCAAGCAAAGGCAAAATAAACTTTGCCCGAATTTCCTGGTAGAAACCACAGTATAGCAGGACACGCTCAGTTGTCGCAATCTTCCCATCCCCACAAGGGCAAACCATCTCTAACAACAGAATCTTCCTGTATCTCCACTCCACTACCACACAGGGAAGGACATTCCATCTAGCCATAGAAAATGTCCTTCGATGGGATGAAATATCTAAGAGCAAAAGGTAAACAGCTTGAGCCCCTACATATTTAGTGTTCTCTGGTGCCAAAAAGTTGAGGGCTCTAGTGATGTCCTCCTGCCATTCAGTATCCAGTACCCTTTGTTTAACAAGGGGCTTTACTGCAGGCTGGAAGGTCAGTAATTCGAGACCCGAGTGCCGCATGACGGAGTGAGCTCCTGTCTCTGGTTCCAGCTCCTGCCAACCTAGCAGTTCGAAAGCAAGAAATTGCAAGTAGATAAATAGGTACCACTTAGGTGGGAAGGTAACAGTGTTCCGTGCTCCTTGGCGTTTAGTCATGCCGGCCACACAACCATGGAAATGTCTTCGGACAGCGCTGGCTCTTCGGCTTGGAAACGGAGATGAGCACCGCAACCCTAGAGTCGGATTTGACTGGCTTTCGAGCAAGGGAAATCTTTACCTTTACCTTGGCCTGATCAAGGCCCATTGCTAAGAGAAGGTCTGCAGGAAGGCCTAACATAGACAGCTTGCAGTGAACCGCCTTCACCCATAAGGATCTAAAACCATCCCTAAGAATTAATGAAGTAAAACTATGAGGGGAATGGTTCAGTTGAAGCCAAAAATTTATGGAAGCTATGCTTACCTTAGCCTCAATTCTAATCAGACCGGATTCCAAATACAGGCTTGTATTTGATACGCTACTAGGAAGTTGAAGTAGAGCTCCTAGACATTTAGATTGTACTCTTTCTAAGGGAGCAAAATCCAACGTGGGGAGACCTAAAATTGTCTCATACAAAAGTTGGGAAACTGAAAGTGTCACTATCCAGCATGGGTTGTAGGTCATTAATAATACATTGAACTGGTTTGAGTTGTTTGCTGTAGGTGACCACCGGCAGTGTTCTGTTGTCATTTTCTTTACACTTGTCTTGTAGCAAGCTGACCCTGGGTATGCCAGAATGCTCTCATATAGCTCCTAGCAACACCATCACTGAACCCAGCAACATCAGCCATACTATCTCAGGTCCCTACTCCTGCTCATCCTCTAATGTGATTTATGCCATCACATGTCAGCAATGACCTTCCACTCTCTACATTGGACAAGCAGGCCAGTCCCATCAATTAATGGACGTAAGTCTGACATCAGAAACCACAGCATTCAAAAACCAGTGGGGGAACGTTTTAACCTTCCAGGACATTCAGTTGCTGACTTAAAAGTAGCAGTTCTCTTACAAAGGAATTTCAAAGTGAGATTGGAAAGAGAGGCTGCTTAATTGCAACTGATAATGAAGCTCAAGACAATGCATCTACCTGGATTTGAGACCTAGGTTTCCTGTTTCATTACCAATTCTGATTTCTCCACACCTAATCCAATCACACCTGCTATTGTCATTTGCCTGCTAATGTCATTTGGCATCTAAAATCACTCCACTTTCCAATATATAGTACAGATGGATTCACATTCTAGCTATGTCTGAAGAAGTGAGCAGTGACTCACGAAAGCTCATACCCTACCATAAATTTTGTTAGTCTTTAAGGTGCTACTGGACTCTTACTCTTTTCTACTGTGGGAACAAAGTTAAATCAGTGAGACAATAAATTTTAATGGGTTGCACTAAATGTAATGACATTTACTTCTTTCAACCTATTTTGCTTTTAGTGTGTTACTGTTCTAAGAAGTAAAGACAACAGTACTGAATATGCTTCCCTGACAATAAGCAAAAGTGTTCTTCAGAGTTGTAAATTCTTCAGTCCTTCCTTAAGGATCTAAAATTGCACTACTGCTAAAGTTTTAATAATAATTTCAATGTACACAAGTTGTCATAATTGATTAGGCAGGTCACAGACAGATC